TTTCATTGAAGAAGCTTTCAACTTTAGGAGATGTATTATAGAGGCATTCAACCATGGAATTTTATTTTTCCAGACTGGAACTTTACAAGTTGAAATGTATTTTTCCTGTATTGTCTCCAACTTATCATAAAAATTAGACAAAATGTGATTTGGATTTGACAGAGAAATACCCTCATTCCAGTTAGTATTCTCAATCTCAGCATGAAACATGGGCAACTTTGATTTTGATTTTGGTTGGTTGTTACATCAACATTTCGGTCCACTCTGGACTCTTGAACAAGTTAACACACAATCTGCTCCCCCAAACACACTAGATGGCTGCTCCCTGCTCCGCACGTGCTGTGGCAGCATCAGGAAGTGTATCTGTTGTAAAGATTGTAAAGAAGAAGGAGTTTGCTTGCTCTGGCGCAGCAAAAAAAAAAAGACCAAAAAAAGGCCATCAAAAAATAAACAGAGGAACGGGTTTTTGATGTCAGCCTCAAGAACAATTTCAGCCAATAAAATTTTGTGGGAAAAAAGGGAAACTAATAATTTTGCTCAAAAGAAAAAGATGTGGCATCATATTTCACTGTTTACTGAAGTAATGAATGGATGCTACGTTAGCATGTCAATGCGGAAATTGTTGTGCAGTCAGAGCCAGTTAAATAATTATCTGACATGTTTTAGTTTAGGTCATTGTTTACATTTGAACGTGCTTTCTGACCAGCTGCTCCAGTGCATCTTTGTGTTTTTGGAATGAGAGTGACTGAAATAAAATAAAAATAAAACAAAATAACAATCCAATAACTTTATTAGTGATATGGTCTGAGACTGATTGCATTATCATATATTTCTGTGGATTCTCAATCATCCAGAACAGAAAATAAAATAAAAAAGACAAAACAACTGAACTTCTGTTCTGTAGCTGAAGACGTGGAGTTACACATTTTAAACAGCGTGACTCAAGGTTAGGGTTATTATTATTAATACTTCACTGACATAAAAGTCGGATGAAATATGACATGATCGCTCAGACTGAAAAGCATCATGAATTCGGTTTAGTCCCACATACCGAAAAGGCCTGGGTTGGGTTTGAAAAAATCTGATTTGTCACGTTCAGACTGTCAGGGAAAAAAGATCATTTATAGGTCCCATTTGTCTGCAGTGTGAACGTGTGCCACCCCGCACAGTGACTGCTGGATGTGGGCACCAGTGACCCTGAAAGGAAGAAGCGGTTTAAGAAAAAGGATGAATGGAGCTGGAATCACTGAAGATGCCACATCGTAACCCCAGCGCTCTTGTTCCACTTGTATCAAAGTGATTTGTGTCCTAATCTCTGGTAAGACCCAGGGATGACTCACACAAGGTATGCAGCTGAGAACAGATGCAGATGGATGACTAAAGGTACGATGAAAAGGTATAGAACATCACTTCTACCAGTCACTTGTCTAATTGCAGTGTCTGTCAGAGGAAACGTGGCTCCTCTCAGAAAGGATTTAATGTTTTTTTTTCTTTTATTCCATCACTCTGTCTTGAAACAATGTTATTTAAAAAAAACTCATATTTCAGTTTGTGTTTCTGTAAGTGTTGCCTCAAGAGATTAAATTCTTTGACGGGCCGTTTGTTTCAAAAGAACCGCTCAAAAGAACTTGTTTTGAACGAGTTACGTCATGACGTTACATGGATGACGTGACGTGTTTTGTCAAGCAGAACCACTCCTGCCCTTTCCCCCTGAGCTGCTGTACTCCAACCCTCTGCCTGTTACCCATGAAAAAAAAGAAAAAAGCGAGAGCGATTGTTTACGTGGTTAAGAATGAAAAATATATGTATTGCAAGGAACAGAAGAAATAAAACTACCAACAGTTCTTCACTGCCTGCAACTTGGTTCCTACACTGCAAAAAATGTCCATCATACCAAGTTTTAAAATCTTATATCCAGCCAAAAAGTATTTTTGATCTTGTTTTGAGACTGATTTACTAAACAAGAACTGATTGTGTAAGACTAATAATCTTGTGTTCAGAATGTGTAAGATTATTTGTCTTGTTAGTCTGAAAATTTGACTCAAATTAAGTCAAAATACCTGCCATTGGAGTAAGAAAATTTTACTTGGTAAGATTCTTGAAATACTTGATTTGACTCAGTGTTTTCTTATTTCAAGAATCTTAACAAGTAAAAATTTCTTGCTCCATTGGCAGAAATTTTGACTTAATTTGAGTCAAATTTTCAGACTAACAAGACAAATAATCTTACACATTCTGAAAACAAGATGATTATTCTTACACAATCAGTTCTTGTTTAGTAAATCAGTCTCAAAACAAGATCAAAAATACTTTTTGGCTGGATATAAGATTTTAAAACTTGGTAAGATGGACAGTTTTTGCAGTGTATCGTTCCTCGTAAAGAGCCATTCATAAGATTTGGATCATTCGTGAACATCACATCACATCTCTAGTTGTCACATGGATATAAATGAATGGTGCAGAACTGAATAGACTGTTTTTGTAGCCGACACTAGTCTTGTAGAATAAAACATTTGCATTATCTTAAACCATAACAAAGATTTGAAGTACCTGACAAAAATACCAATGTACAGTAAGTTGGTTCTAAAAAACCAAACTTCTAAGGTTAGTCGTGCTGCATTATTGAGATATTTGTGATAAATTGTTCTCTTTTTGTTCAATTAATGTCTGACTTTGCGTTCACAAGATAAAAAGATCAAGAAAAAGTCATCTTCAGTCAAATTCCACAATAAATCAGTTTTAAAAAAATACAAATCCATTTTCTTGTTCTGAATATTCTTTTATTTCATCTCATACCTGTAAAAATATATTCTCAAAATAAATAATTATATGAAATAAATATAATGTAAGCAATAAAAAAGGGAAACAAATCATAAATAAGAATAAAATCTGTCTAAATGTTTGTAAAGGTGTCTGTCGGTCCTTTGCTTGTTGTTTGGCTGCAGCCAGTTGGTCAACAGCTGAATTCCTTCACCGAGTTCCTGTAGGGGTTTTTCCACTGCCGGAAACCACAAAAAAGTCATTTCAGAACTCCGTTTACATTTAAACTGTCCTTTGTCTCTTCTTCCTTGTGTTCTTTGCAGAAAAGTCATGATTTCTGAGCAGCATCTTGACATTTTTTTCTACCCCAACACCTGTTTTCCTGCGTTTCCAGTGCATGAAGCTACCTTCTTTATGTAAACCAGCCACACACTGTGGTAGATGACGAAGTCTAATTAGCAATTAGCAGCCCGAGTTACGCTGAAAAACAAAAAGGCATTTTCAACAGCCACAGCAGTAGAAGGCTACTAGCAGCCATGGGTTACTCAAAAAAAGGTGTTTACTTTTGTGTGTTTGAGCATGCAGTCTGGACCTGATTGGGTTTCATCAGTAGAAACATAAAGGAAATCCAGAGATCGTCATTTGGCTGCCCGGGCTAAACATGAGGTGCTTAGTTCTTGTCTTCCAAATCGATTCCTGCAAATCCCAAGAGCTGTCTGCTGTTTCGCCCGTCTCTTCTCACTCGCAGCCATGTGGAGCGTCTTTGGTCCTGTTCTGTCCAGATCATCAACCTCTTCCATCTCCACGGAGAAAGGGGTGACGATAGCTGCACTTGATCCCCCTTTTCACAGGGTAACACTTTCCTTCTGTCTCAGCTCTGGCCCAGTATGTCTCTGTACAAGTCTGGGACTCTATCGGGGTCTACAGGTCTAGGCAGGAAGTGAGTGAACCTCTGATGTCGCCTGGACCTGGTTCCATCCCGCGACGTCCCGTCTTTGTTCAGCGCCACGAAGTAAAACGCCCCTTTGTCTCCGTGCCGGTAGATATTTGATGAGTATGTGTTGTACCAGTTTTCCTCGAACTGCTCCCTGAACACACACTCGGCTGACAGCTTCTCCTGCAAACAGAAGCAGATGATAAAAGAGTCAGGTGGGAGTTTTATGGTGGAAACAGCCCCCTACTGGTTGCAAGTATATAAACCAATCATCAATGTGAACGTAGGCTGCAGTGTAATACACTGCCTGGCCAAAGAAAAGGTCACCACCTGGATTTAACTAAGCAAATAGGTGAGAGCCTCCCATTGGACAATTACTGTCTGGGTGATTATATTTCATCTGAAGTTATTTAATTCTAACTGATGGAGGTTGTTAAACAACCATTGGCTAAAATGAGGTTAAGAACTGTCCAATGCATTATTAACAACTAACTGGAAGGACAGTGGGGAAACATCTTTGAGGAGGATATGGTTGAAAAAAAATCTTGAATGGTCGCTTAAAAGTTGGGGGGAATCAAAACTAGGGCTGCCACAAACAACTATTTTTATAATTGATTAATCACCGATTATCTTTTCGATTAGTCGACTAATCGGATCATACGTTAATTGAATATAAAACATACAGCTTATCGTGCCAGAATGCAGCTGCTATTATGTAACCATCGTTCGATTTTAGCTATATGCTAACTAAAATAATTGCTGTGGAAGGTAAGTTCTGCTCTGCAGATATTGTACAGGTTTCTCTTTCATTTTCTTAAAATGACCCCACACTTTTGAGCTCCGTTGCCGGGTAGCCATGAAACCAGAGCCTGTCTGTATAATGTCTTGTGACGTCCACGGCCTACCCCAGTTACCACTACTGTGCATGTGTGTCAATGACAGAAAGGCAGATGTGGCAGTGGAAGGTGTCAAAGCAGTTTGGAGAGAAAAACAAAGTAAAGAACAAAAAAAGCGATTAATCGATTATTAAATTAGTCATCGATTATTTTAATAATCGATTAGTCGTCGATTAATCGATTAATCGTTGCAGCCCTGATCAAAACAACAGCAGAATTTATGGCTATGTTTAGTAGTGAAAGTAAAATGATTTGCATACGTACAATGCAGGGAAATCAAGAGATTGTGACTAAACAGCTATAGTCATAAGAAAACCACTTATCAGTGAGGCTAATTGGGAAAAAAGTCTTCAGTTTGCTAGTGAGCATAAAGGTTGCACTCTGGATGCGGTCTGATGAGTCCATACTGACCCTGTTCCAGAGTCATGGGAGGACCAGCTAGGGTAAGACGAGAGGCGGCTGAAGTGATGCTATAGTAGCATCTGTGGGGGCAGTGCAACAATCTGAGGTTGCTGCAGTTGATCTGGTCTAGGTTCAGTAATGCCGTGTGTCCAAAGAACATGGTCCTGAACACACTGAATGACCAGGTAAAGCCATCAACGGTTTGTTTCTTCCCTGGACAGAGGCTTGTTTCAAGATGAGCATGCCAGGATTCATCGGGCTCAAATTGTGAAGGAGTGGTTCGGACCACCAGAGAGGTCAGACCTGAACCACTGAGAATATTTTGGATGTGCTGGAGAAGACTTTGCACAGCGGAACAGTTGTCCTGTCTTCAACAAAAGATTGTGGCGAAAAATGAATAAAGCTAAAAGCCGTCAAACAAAAATATTAGTGTGACTGTTTGCATTTTCTTTTCTTTTCTTTTTCCTTTTTTTTTTGTTTGACCAGGCAGTGTGGAATACATTTGCAAAGAAAAATGAGAGTATGTGTGATCATAGCTGCATCCTTACCGATCCGTACAGCTCTCCCTTGCTGTTCATGGCGAGGTACAGACCACTGTCCACGCCTCTGATGCTGACCAGTCCCACTGCCAGACTGATGAACTCCAAAATACCTGCACACACGTCACATCCAGGACACATCAGAATAACACATAACTACACATCACATCCCAAATAACAGGTATTCGTCGAATGAAATAGAAACTGTCAAAATTTGTATTGCAACACTAAAAAAAGTCTAAAATGATTATCCAGATCAAATTCTCATTTTAAACATGTGCTGCATTCAATTAGTTCATTTGAATTAATGTAATATAATGTTTTGCACTAATCAAGCGGGATACATCCTGTAGGACGCAGGGTACTCCTAAAGATGGAAGTGATGTAATAACAGTTATAATGTTCTGAACACCTTGCTCACGCTTTTACTGAAAAATGACCACTTTGTAGTAAATATTACAGAGATTACCCCCCCCCCCCCTCCAGAATCAGTGCTTCCATCTCAAGTATGCTGCTACTAGAGATGGTGATAAGGAAATGGGTCTGTACCGAATCTGCTGTGGTCTTTCCTGGTGCCCTGCACGGTGCCGTCCGGATGGATCTCCAGGTGGAAGCCCGTCCTGCAGTAAAGCTGCCGCCGCCTGAGAATCCCCTTCAGGTGGCTGAGGTCCGCCAGGCTCCGGGACAGCCTCTCGGCGGACACCAGGTGCTCCTGCTGCTGTCCCTGTCCCCTCATCATCAGTCCCGTTGCGGAGTTGTAGTCCACGGCCCCCGCCGGCGTCAGGATGAAATGCGAGCCCACCGGAGCCGGTGCGGCGCCGAAGCTGTCCAAGAACCCGTTGGCGAAGCTCCCAACCTCGGCCGCTGCCCCCATCACAGATCCGACACCCGATTCCGAGGCGACGTCCCGGTGATGAGCGAAGAGACACTGTGTTCCAAGCGAGGGGGGCGAGCCCGCGGAGCGACGAACGAGAAAAAGTTGGCCGTGGAAAAAATCCCTCGATCAGTGCGTATTTTGGCGCACCGGTGATTAGATTGCCATTGAAGTGAAACGAAACTCCTGCGTGATTTTCTGCGGTGTGCACGAGCTCTATCCCGGCTGCAGCGCTCCGTTTCTCTCCCCCCTCTCTCCTCCTCTCCTCTTCTTTTTATCCGTCTCTCCTCACCTTTGGATACTCCCCCTTTTCTCAGATCAGGGTTTCCTCGCTCCCTGTTTCCCCCCACCCCAGCTCCTCCTCAGCAGCAGCAGCAGCTGCACAGCTGCACCTCCACAACGCGCTGCCTCACATATTCACCCCCGAGTTGCCTTTTTATGCAAATGGACCCAGATCTCCTCCTCATGTGGCTCATTTCTGCTTCCCCTCCGCTGCTCGCTCTGCTGCCTCATCTTTGATGTTTATAGAGCGCAGAGACTTTGAGGGGGAATTACAACTACTATTACTACTACTACTGCTACAACAACAACAACAACAACAACAACAACAATAATAATAATAATAATAATAATAATAATAATAATAATAATAATAATAAGAGCCTGGTGGTCTTTCTCTCCACCAGCCACCCAACTACTGCGCGTTCAGCAAAGCAGCTTGTGCGCAATTCCTTTTGGGAATGCAACGCGGTGTGCGTGCGTGCGCGCGCGTGCAACACAGAGAGGGTGTGAAACAGCAAGGAAGTGACAGCAGCCACCCTAAACGTTTTATAGCTCCAAACCACGGGTTTCGAAACGACTCAGGTGCTGCGAGAAGCGCGAGGAAAGCCCCCGTTTGTGCAGTTTTCGCAATCGGGTGTTGATTTATTGCCCCCGTTTCATGTAACTTCAGCCGCACAGACACGCGTGCGCGCGCGCACACACACACCTGTGCAAACTACATCACTTGACTTGTCAATCCCCCTCATTGATCTTTCCATTGCGCTTTGAACGGAGAAGCCCCACACATATCCTTAATTGTGGTCCTAAAAGACAAATCAAAGGCGCAGGGTTCAAAGCGCGGGGATCTTCAACAACCAGAATACTTGTTTGAACTCCAAACTTAGAAAAT